GGCATTGGAATATGCATCTCAGGAACTGCAAAACAACAAGGAGATTGTGGCTATTGCAGTATCACAGGATGGTAAGGCATTGGGATATGGATCTCAAGAATTAAGGGGAGACATCTGTTTATCACTGACTGCATTGGAGTCATCCCCATACGCATTGCAGTTTTGTACCAAGGAATTCTTTGCACGTTGTGCAAAAGAGTCTGTCAAAGGTTATCATAATATACATGGTTGTTGAAATATTTCCATTAGAAACTACAATGCTTTCATCTCGTAGCTTCCATACACGAAACAAGTCTAATACGATTCGATTGTGCTAATGATTTTGCTACTGTAGATTTGTAATTTTCGACTAGTAACTCTATTGGCAACTTTATCTTCGACCTATGTTCATTGGTTGAAGTTGCACCAGAAAACATTTCTCAACTACGGAAATCTGTGAATCATCAACAATTTAAGAAATGGATATATATATATTGGTTGAAATTGCACCAGAAAGCATTTCTAAATCTGTGAATCGTCAACAATTTAAGATGAAATGGATATATACTGAACCTAGAATTTGTTTGGATGAGCAGCGAATAGAGGACATCTTGAATTCGTGACACAAATGTTGAGCGTAGAAAGGCCTTTCCTGTGTTGATTTGAGAATTCTAGGATTTTATTTTGAATAATGTTACAGATTTACTTTGTCTTTGTTGACTGATGCATCTTGTTGGGAAGCCGCAGCTTCTAGAGTTATCAAAACCGCTTAAAACAGAAACGAGAAGGATTCCACGACGGGCTTCTGCTCCACAAATTCTAGCAGGGCGTAAGCCGTGATGGCTACCATCGCCAGGCGTCCGTTCTTGATCTCTGCGAGCTTCACCCACTTCGAAACGGCGTTGTCCTCCTTGGTCAGCTTCAGGGGATCGATCTGGAAATCCCCGGGAACGTACCCCGCCTCGTTGACCTTGGTGAGTCCGTAGGCTTCGACGGCGGATCCGAGGAGCAGAACAAACAACCAGTAGGCAACCTGGATTTTCCCCATGCCCCCGTTCAGCACCGAGGGGACACGGCCGGCCTCGTCGAGGACGGAGGGGAGGTTCAGGGCGTCGGCCAGGGTTCGGTCCCACAGCTCGCTGATCGGCCATCCGGCGGCGGCCAGCATCGCGAGGCGCGCGTGCTTCATCTCGGCCTCCCGCATGTTCATGAGCCACTTGTCGTCCTTGGCAAAGTTGAGGGGGTCGAACCCGACGTCGCCCGCATAGGTCCCGTCGAGGGCCGGCGGCTGCTCGAGGAACGGGAGGGATTTCGAATAGACCTTGGGGGCCTCGGTGGAGAAGAGGCTCGACGACGAGGTCTTTGCGGACGGAAGCGATTTCGATTGGAAGGCTTCGGTGGCGGCAAGGCCGGCGAGGAACGAAGCTAGGCAATAGGATTTCATGGTGTTGTTGGTTGTCAAGTGTCGCTTGTTGCTTGTGGGTTGTGGGTTGTCTTTTGTGGAATTTTGAGATAATGTAAATGCTATGCGGATGATGTCTCGAGTGACGTTCGGAATCCTTTATTTCTATTCAAGCGGTCCGATTTCTTTCTCCAACAGAATCTACGGTATGATACATGCGACGAGATTTCGGTTCTAGAGTGACTCAGCGAAAGGCGCGTGCTCTTACCGGAGCTCGTATTGGATTCGCATTTTGTGATACTGAATTGCTCCCCGGGCGCGATGGCTTCCACAGAGCTAACTAAACCAGCCAAACAAATGAACGGTTCCTGCATATACTTTCGTACAAGATGAAGTACGACGCGAAAAACATGTATTTTCGATGTTTTGCGCGCACATCTGATCGATGCGCGATCAAAAGAAGAACATTCCTGCCTACTGCCTTTCGTAAAACGTCATCGAGAGCCAGCCGCGGCGGATTCCAGATTGAAGATACCATCGAGCATTATCACATGCGTGACTGGGATATTCAGGAAAAATCCACGACCCGCACCTGGTGCGATCATCGTCAACTTCTGGCACCTGCCAAAAGGCTCCAGCAGTCGATTCTCACTCAGAGCTCAGAAGCACTGATGAATCATCTTCATTGAAAAAAAAATTAGTATCCGTCAGATTATCGACAAGAATGAAACGTAGTGTAATTCAATGAAGAAACGCACTCGGAGTAAATTAAATGGCAGACGAAAACCTTTGAACAACATTATTTCCTAAAGTAAATTTCATTCGAGTGACAACAGTGCACATGAACCACAAGCAACCAACTGATAAAAGTGACGCCCGTTCATCTTAACCTAAAAGTTGACATCGGCAGGAAATTCGATAGAAGCAATCCACAGATTCGAGCCCACGGCGACCAACCACACATATAGCCATCATTTTCTTTCTTTTCATGGTCTTCTACAACCCGAAATTGACCATGCGGCCGCAATGTAGAAACACGCCGATATACTTTACCATTGCCGGAGCCATGCTGCTTTTCCTCTTGTCGGCGGCCGTCGGACCCGTGTCGTCCTTCGGTAGCACCGCGGACGTCGGAAGCTCGGCGTCTTCGTCGTCTTCTCTACAACGCGGTCGGCAGCAGAGGAATCAGCCACCAGCTGTTTCGGTGCTCCACCACCGGCAGCCACCACACACCACAACAACGACCGCACTGGCGTCGTCTCTGTCGTGGAAGGGTAGGACAACCGCAGCAGCAGCGGCGACGAAATCTCCGCTCTTTCGCAGCGGTGCGAATCTACAAACACCGTCGTCGTCCTCCTCCTCCGTTACCACCCGTTTTTCCACGGCGAGACAGGCGGCATCCGTGGCAGAAACCGAGCCACCGACCAGAAAACGATCGCTGTTGCGAAGAATTCTTTGGAATGCCAATCCGCTCGCGGGTCGAAAAGACGATCGATGGAAGGGAGGAGAATCGACGTCAACGATTGCATCTCGGCTCCTCTTTAGTTACGTGTCGCCTCTCCTGGAAGTTGTCGCCGGGAAGAACAACCAGAACCGAACGCTGACCGAAGAGGATGCGTTTTCCCTGAGCCATGGAAAACGCTCCATGGATTACGCCGTCGAGTCTTTGACCGGCACCTACGGCCTAGCTCGAACCAAGGCGGCACGTCGGTTGGAAGAACAAAAACAACAAGCCACAAAAAACAACGACGTGGTCAAAAACTCGCAATCGCTCATTTTGTTGAAGGCACTCGTGCGCAACCAAAAATCGACGCTGTTGCTGACGGGCGTTTTGCGGCTGGTGAACACGCTCGTTCAGGCATTTCCTTCCCTGTTGGTCGCTCGTTTGCTGCGGTCGATCGAGGCGGGGCCATCCGCTCCGATCCAGGAGTGTCTCAAGGCGGCTGTTCTGCTGGTGGGAGTCTTGTGCCTGAAAATGATCACGGAAAACCAATTCTTTCACAACGTCGTCAATATGTCGACCCAAATCCGTGGTTCCGTCGAGGGATTGATTTTCGACAAGTCCCTGCGGCTGCCCGAGGGGGGAAGCGGCGTGCTGACGAAAAGCTATACCGCCAAAAACTCCTCCAACAAAGGTGCCAAGGAACAGGGAAAACCAAAGAAGGCTCTCGGATCTGGAGGGGTGAGTCGCGATGAACGAAGGAGGCGCGGAACAGGACTTCCATTTTTTCGATATTCTTCTAATTTTTTTTGTTCTTGTTCTACTTCTGAAATTTGCTTTCACGAATGCAAGGTGTTGAATTTGATGCAATCAGACGCGTCAATTATCGAAAGCGCCGCCATGCAGGTCCACACACTATGGGACGGTCCATTGCAAATAACGATATATACCTACCTTCTTTTTCAGTGCCTTGGGTCTAGTGTCGCATGGGGTCTCGCTGTATTGCTATCGGTGATCCCCGCAAATAGTATTGTACTGAGAATATCAGATCGCCTGGCTCGGCTTGAAACCGAAGCCAGAAGCGCCAGGACAAAAAGAACCAACGAAAGCATCACCCACATGAAATTGCTCAAGGTTCAATCGTGGGAAAAGGTATTTGCGGAAGACATCAAAAAGCATCGCAGTGACGAGCTGCGCCGCCACCGAATGAGAGGGGTGGTGCGTGCCGTCAATTCTGCCATATCCAATGCAGTTCCTGCACTTGTTTTGGTCGTAACTCTGACGGCTTATGCCAAGACAGGCAAACCCATCAAAGCGAGTACCATATTTACTGCGATTTCGCTTTTCAATCAACTTCGGTTCCCCCTCTTTTTTTATCCAATGCTCATCGATTCGTTGGTAATCGGTCGCAATTCATTGCGACGCATTGCTTCCTATTTGAGTTCTGAAGAGCTGACTCCATACGTCCAAGCTCTTCCCCCTACTATGGACGGTGGCGGTCAAATTGAGATTCGACACGGAAGTTTTCTTTGGTCGACATCCAATCAAATAAAAGATGGAGAGGTCACACCACCAGACTCACCAGCACTTTGCAATGTCAATCTCAAAGTCAATTCTGGGGAAGTCGTAGCCGTTGTGGGTCCGGTAGGAAGTGGAAAAAGTGCTTTGGTCAAAGCTATCCTTGGAGAACTTACTCCTGTTCCCAAAATAGTTGTTGAAAGTAGTAGTGGAGCTGACCAGAATGATTCACCAGTTGTTGAAGATTTGATGAATCGACCAGAGGTTGTCATGCACGGCAATGCTGGATATTGCAGCCAAGAGGCATGGGTTCCGAAAGGAACTCTTCGGGAAGCAATCGTTTTTGGTCGTGAGTACGACGAAGAACGATACCGCGAGGCCCTATACGATGCTGGACTGGATCAAGATATTGCATCTGGAACACTTAGTTCAGAGATGGACGTTGGTGAAAAGGGCTCGAGTTTGTCGGGTGGACAGCGAGCCCGGGTTGCGCTAGCTCGTGCCTTATACGGAGACGAAAATACGAAAGTCCTCGTTTTAGACGATTGTTTGGCAGCTCTGGATGCACGCGTTGGATCACTTGTTTTTGAACGTGTCACCAAGCGCGCCAAGGCTTCGAATGCGGCGACAATACTTGTCACCAATGATCCTTCATTGCCACGACGGTGCGATCGTGTAGTTTTGATGGGTCCGACGCAAAAAAGTTCGTCTCCGAATGGTTCTGGTTGCTCAACAATTGTTGACTCCGGCACATACGATGATTTGCTTTCTCGAGGGCACGCGCTTACGAGTTTCTCGAATGAGTACGATTCAAGCGATGACGAAACTCCAATCGTTCAGGTCCACGAGGATCGAAAAGTCCACATTGAGCACAACAGCATGGAAACAGATACTATACGGGTCGTAGGAGGCTACGCCATCCATGCGAATGAAACAGACTCTTCTTGTCATGCTGATCCTGACGTTCGTGTGGATATTAAAAACAGTCCAGATTTCCTTGCTGACCGAGTCATACCACGAGAAACAGATGATGAGAGTCATGGCATTGACAAAAACTTGAATTCAACCAAGTCTTCTGAATCGCATCCAAAAACACGGTCAGAGGAAGCTGCCCTGGTATCAACAGATGATAAAATGACAACCCAAGCTGTACCTCTTTCTACATACATGGGTTACTTGAGAGCTGTGGGAAGTCCAGTGCTCTTAATAGGTATGGTCGCATCCTTTGGTGTTGCCGAGGGTGCTAGGTTCTTTCAACAGTATACAGTTTCGAAATGGACTGAAATAGCTGGATCCAGCTCCATGGCGGGAGCACTGGGAGGTCAATACCTCAATAATCTTGCCTACGCTGCTGTTGTAGTATCTGTTTTCTTATGGTGCCGGAGCTTTTTCACGATGCTGGTCGGATTGAAGGCATCTACGTTCTACCATAACCGAATGGTTGGTTCTGTCTTTCGCGCTCCCATGTCGTTCTTTGACGCGACTCCTTCTGGACAGATATTGTCGCGTTTTGGGAAGGAACTGGAGACAGTGGACCGAGCCTTACCAGAGAGCATTGCGAGCGTTCTCTACTGCTTCTTGCAAATCTCGAGCACTGTCTTAGCATTGTCAGGGGTCATTTCACCTGTAATGATGGTACCCATAACATTTGCCGGTGCTCTTTATCTCCGAATAATGAAACGATTCCGTCCAGCTGCCCGCGACATGAAGCGTAGCGAACAACGAACAAGGTCACCTATTTTCACACACTTTGGAGAGGCTCTTCGTGGAACCGAAGTCATTCGCTCGATACCAGGGGCAAAGCTTACTTGGTCATCCAGGCATCGAAAGTTATCAGACGTCAACTTATCAGTTTTTTCTACAGTAAAAGCACTTGACCGGTGGTTATCTGTAAATTTGGAAGCAATCGGCAACTCTATGGTATTTATCACGGCAGTGAGTTCCGTGTTTCTGTCGAGAGCCGGTCGTCTTCAGTCAGGTTCTGCCGGATGGGGATTGACACAGTCTTTGGCAATCACTGGATTGATGGCATGGGCTGTAAGAAATCTCACCATGCTTGAGTCACAAATGATGAGTGTTCAACGAGTGACAGAAATTACCGATATCGAGGAGTTCCAAAACGACAAAGAATCGGAAAAAGAGAAGCCCAAAATGCCCAGAGAAATGGACAAGGCCGGCGAGGCGTTCCAACTCCCACCAAATTTAGGTTTGAGGAGCAGCCCTTCAACAGAACACGCACTTGTTAAAGACGGTTGGCCATGGTTGGGCGGCGTTTCATTCAAGAATGTTTCAATGAAATACAATCCCTCATCACCGCTAGTGCTAAATCGAGTGACACTCTCGGTGCCTCCAGGGAGTACACTAGGGGTTGTGGGCCGAACGGGCTCTGGGAAGAGTAGTCTGCTTCTGACTCTCTTTCGAATTGTTGAAATTGAGTCCGGAGGGGCCATCGAGATCGACGGAATCGATATTCGCTCGGTGTCCATGGAGAAACTGCGTGAAAGCCTAGCTATTATTCCTCAAGACCCAGTTTTGTTCGCAGGCACTCTGGCATCCAATCTCGATGCCAACGGAAAGGTGTCCCCGGAAAATATGTGGAAAGCACTCGAAGCCGCGTCTCCGGATTTGGTTCGGCATTTCAAGGCTCTTGGTGGATTAACCAGTCAAATCAGCGAGGGTGGCGGAAATCTGAGCCAGGGCCAGCGACAATTGATTTGTTTGGCGAGAGCCTTGATCAAGAAGTCCAAGATTCTTGTCCTCGACGAAGCAACTAGCTCCGTAGATGCACAAACGGACAAGCAAGTGCAGGACACGATACGTAGGGAATTCGTGGAAAAGGGGGTTTCTGTCATCACGGTTGCCCATCGACTCGATACGGTAATGGGATACGACAAAATTGCTGTCCTGGGCCAGGGGAGTGTACTCGAATACGGATCTCCTTCGGATTTGCTCAAAATAGAAAATGGCGAATTCAGAAGCTTGGTCGACGCCGACCAAGCAAACAAAAGGAAGGGTGGGAAGCTCCTGGTGAATGTTGTCTAATTTAAGCCAAGCCTGTTGTTCGATTGTACTAGTTTAGGAATTAATATTGGAACCATTATTCTTGTCGTCTTAACACCGAGCTTGACTTTCTTCTGCTAGGTAGCATCAGCGACAGAGATTCTCCCCAACTCTCGTCATCGCTGTCTTCATACGCGGCACTTTTTAGTGACACCTCTTGAAGAAAAGAAACGCGTTTCAAGGCTTCTCCTCCCGACATCGTTGTCTTATTTGAAAATGTCGACGATCGAAACACGGAACTTGACTTTCTACTGACAGGGGGTATAAGGGATAGCGATTCCCCCCATCTCTCGGAGTCGGCGTCGCTCTCGGGCACGTGGTTAAGCAACTCTTTTAGGTATGATGCGCTTTTTTGAGCGCTTTCCGTGTCGCCGGAGCTAAGCTGTGCAGAAATCGCCGACGACTGCAGCTCTGTCGCAATCTTGACAATCTTGCTCGACTCGGGAGACGACAAGACGGCCTGGGCGTACTTCATGGCCATGTTCCCCAAAACGCTCTTGGACATGGCCTGGCGCTCGAGAAATTGTGCAAACGCCTTCGCGTCTGCATCCACCGGTGTTCTCAGGCACCGGTGCAAGTTGTATGCATGTGGATGGAGTTCGTAAAATGCAATCGAGTGGTCGGGTGTGTTAGTATTCTCCGAATTCTTCATCTTTGCCATAGCGGTCATAATATCAGTAGCTTGGTGGAGAATCTGATCCCCACCGGGATGGATGGGGGAAACATGGTTCAGATCGATGATTGTACCCCCGATTTGGCTGAGTAGGTTGCTTTCCTTGGTTAGCGTGGGAGACACGCCGTAGGACTCGCACGTAAACTCGAATTGCATACCGCAGGATTCCGTAAACGTCCGGAGCGGCATGATCGCACTCTTGACCCCGCCACAGCAGTAGGCCAGATTCAGCCCGTTGCTCTTGTATGTTTCCAGCAACCTGCTCTGAAACGATTCGCACTCAAAGTAGTAGGCTGAAATCCTTCGCCGCCGTAGCACCGTCGTCTCCTCGAATGCCCCGTTGCGAATCACGTAGCGCATGGGGCAGTTGCGTCGGCTCCGATCCCCCGAAATATACCCCATGACGATGGCACCGGGATTCATCGCTGTAAAATCGAGCCAGGTCTGGGAATTGCACATAAACATATCCGATGACTTGCACTGGTGGACAATGGTATACGATCCCGTCCGCGACCGAATGGAGTCTACCAGGCCAACGAACGGGGATATACCTGTTCCGGAAGCAACACACACCAAGTTCACATCTTTTGGAGGCACCAAGAAAAATGTGGCGGGAGAAAACGAACAATGAACCTTTGTGATTTTTGGATCGCTCATCGCGGCATATCCATGGTGCCGTGCAAGATCGTCGGGTTTAGAGACGAGAAGAAAGACTCGGTCGGGTTCGACCCCAGAAACCGAGTAAATCCTCGGCGATACGGGCTCGAGCGATCCTATTCGTTCTGTTGGGATCGGAGGTGGAGAGGCAAACATCTGCGAGGCACCCCCAACGGACAAATCGAGGGGAGAGTGAACCCAGTTAAACTTCTTCGAGGATTCGTCCCGTATGTTGCCCTGCTCGATATATCGAGCAATCATTTCGAGTGGAACGCCGCTGCCGCCGTGTTCTTCGAAACGGCCCCATCCCAGTGCCTCCCAAAGCCCGTCCCAGCCCCAGCCATTGCCGGTGCTTTTCTGAAGGTTCCTCATGTCCTCCAGCTTGAAATATTCCTGGTTCATAGACTTCAGCGAGTGCAGCCACGAGCGCGTCTGCCTGTCGTCGTTCGGGAGGATCACCTTTACCACGTCCCCGTATTCGTACAGCAGACCGGTTCCGGACAAGTCCAGGGCCACCGTCGTGAATCCCCCTGATTCGCTCGTGGAATAAATGATCTTTGTCACCTCGTTCATGAGCGGTGGAAGCCGAAGCCTCCACCGGTCATTGGCCGCCTCGCGCATGTGCTTGAACATCGTTATCGCAAATTTGTGGTTGTCGATAGCATTCAGTGAGTCGTTCGAGGACATCGTCATCGGGCAGCCGGACTGCTGGCTTGGCGGCTCTTTTCCCTCGGACGAAGACGTTGCCATCGGGCACCCGGTTCTCTCGCTAGGTGGTTTTTCGTTGCTGAGGGAAGATAGTGCCACCGGACACCCGGATTGCTGGCCTGGCGATGACGTTTTGTTGGAAGCGGACGCTGCCATCGGACACCCCGGCCCGCTTGGCGGTTCGCTCTTGCTTTCGCTGTCCCCCGCATCGCCCTTCGACGCGAGGTGGTTGGTCCCACTGGTCGACGACTGGACGTTGTTGTGGATGTAGGAATAGAGCTTGCGGCAGTGGGCCTGGAGCATACCCCCCTCTCCGGCGTAGCACTCGATCAGGTGGTTGTAGGCCGTGAGGAGCTCCCGGGGCCGGCCGATGACGTCCAGAAAGCCCCGGAGCGAGGACGATTCCTGCAGCCTCGAGAGGCATCGGATGTATTCTCGCTGCGGGCGCGGAAAGGTGTTGTCGATGGACCCCACCGCGCTGACGAGGCCGCCAGTAGGATTCTGGCCGCTCCCTCGTGACTGCCGGAACTGGTACCGTCCGAGAAGCCAGTCCAGGATGTGAAAGTAGGGGAACTGCGTCCCCGTAGTGCCCTTGGCCGGCTCGGGCTTTCCGTTCTTCGTCTTTCGGACCAGGACGCCATTGGAGAGCGGCTGCGTCTGTTTGATGGAAACGTACTTGGAATTGAAGGTCCGTTTCTTGGGGTCCGTGGACATTTGCTGGAATTCTTCCTTGCACTTGGAGACGCTAAAGGCCACCTTGTACACCAGTTCGTACAACCGGTTGATCTCGTAGTTGTCCCCGTCGTCCGAGGCACCGACCAGCTCGGCCTCGATGATGTTTCTCATCACCGAGAGAATGTCGAGGACGTCAAAGGGGAGGGACGAGAGCGAGAAGCCCATGCAGGCGGGAACCAGCTGGTTGATCCGCTCGTGGTTGTTCCCAAAGGCGGGGTAGAGCATGACGATGTTGTCCAGGCCAAACTCGGTGGCTTCCTCCTCGCCCAGGAATATGTCGTCGTAGGCATCACCGTAGTCCGAGTAGTGCTGGAGCTGGGGCTGCGAGGTTTGCCGGAGGTTCTCGTCGAGGAATTCCGCGGCGGAGCCGATGCTCCTCATCGAGGATTCGCTCGGAAGGGAGGGCCGGCGGATGTAGCTCCCGGAGCGTTCGAGGGCCGGCGCCAGCGGCGGCATCGGCCGCCCGGGGAGGTTGCTCGGCCGGCCGGATTGCACCAGCGTCGATGCGTGGGTTTCGCCCTCGACGAGGTTCCAAAAGGCGTTGGTAAACCGGTAGAACAGGTGCTTGTCCCGGAGCAGGTGGTGCTTCTTGACGTGCTCAAAGAGCTTGAGCTGCTGGTTGATGGCGATCGCGATCTCCAGGCAGTCCCGGCGGGTGGGTCCGACGTCTTCGTCCATGAGCAGGTCGATCATCTGCTTGCCGACAAAGCACTTTTTGTAGATCCGCAGCCGGTACCGGCGGTCCTTGACCCGGACCTTGGCCATGGCGTGGATGACGGCCATGCGCTCGTACATGGACGTGTGCTTTCGTGGGACCATCCGTTCGTTGCTGTAGGTCACCGACAGCTTGGCCACCGCCTTGGTGCTCACCGCGTTGGTAGAAGACCCCCTCGACGAAGGGTTGGAATCGAAACCATTGTCCGGAAGATTCGAGGCGTTGGAAACGACCGAAAAGGCCAGGCTCTCCGACTCGTCGTAGCCGCCGTCCCCGGCATTGATGCCCCGGCGAAGCCTGTCGCTGTCGTCGATGGTCAGCTCATCCGACTGGCCGCTGACGGCCATGAGCCTCCGGGTCTTCCACTCCCTCCGGAACCGGTAGAAGCCCCGGTCGTCCATCAGCTCGTAGTTGTTGTCGTTGTTGCTGACGTGCTGGAAGAGGTTGTACGCCCGGTTGATCTTTCGGAGGAGCCTCACGGCTTCCTCCCTCGTGTCGGTGAAGGAATTCTCCAGGACCACGTCGACGCACTGGGTCCCCAAAAAGCAGTCCGGGTGGACCTTGGCCCGGTGGGTCCGGTCCTCGCACTCGCACTGCCGGAGGAGCGCGGCAACGACGACCCGCTCCATCTTTCGCGCCATTTGTTTGCTGAAGCGGCGCTTGGACAGGGCCGTCATCGCCTTTGCCGCCGTTTTTGCCAAAACGTCCCCGTTGGGCCCGCCGGTAAGAAGGGACGGCTCGGACGCGGGTTCTTCCTTGTCCCCCTTCCAGGTCCAGTTTTCCTGCACCAGAAAGTGTCCCGAGAGCGTGGGCTCCACCCCCAGCCGCTCCGCCACCACCAGGAGGGGGTCCTCGATCCATCCCGGGAGCTCCGCGGTCTTGGGGCCGTTCGGCGCGCTGTTCCCGTACAGGTGGCTGAGCGTCCCCAGCAGGAGGAAGATCCTCGCCGCTTCGCGGTAGTCCCGGTAGTCTTCCTCGGCGAGCTCCACGGACGGGACCGGGGCCTCTCCCAGGTACAGGTGCAGGGGGGTGTTCCCGTAGAGCTGCTCCCCCTCGGGCGGGAGGTCCTCGACCATGGACGGATCGGGCCTCCCAAAGTCCGGGCCGACCTCCATGGACTCGTAGCAGGCCACCGGCCAGAAAAACTCCCGGCACCCTTCCAGCTTGAGCTCCCAGGGACGGAACCTCCCGCCGAGCTTCCCGCCGAGGCCTCCGGGGGCCGTAAAGCCCCACTCCCGGGTGAGAAAGCCGTGGGTCCCGTGCCGGTGGGTTTCCAGGACGGACTGCAGGGCGGTTTCGACCTCCGCCAGGTTGGCGAGGACGGCCCGGAGGCCCGGGGAAGCCCCCGGACCACTGCTGCTGCTGCTGCTGCTGCTAGTGGGCTTGTCGTCGCTGCCACGGACGCTTTGGGGGGTGGCACTGCGGCCTGGTTCTTTCGGATCGGCGGCATCGGCGGCAGCTTCGGCCTCCGATTCGTTCATCGCGGCACGCAAAAGGGTCGGATTTCAATGCGTTATTATTCCACAGGGATGTTCCCACCAACAACACAAACCCAAGAAAGATTAGCAATTCTTGCGTGGTTTCTCTCGCCCCGCTGGTTGTGTGGGCCTTCCCGATCGCCGGGTTTTGTCGTATTGCTCCACCGAAGAGTTGACTTCACTCCACAAACAATGTTGTTTTGCATTTGTGGTTGCAATGTTGCAATGGGCCTGAGTCTGCGCCAGCTGTACCGCAACACACGATCCCCAGTCGGGACGCCGTAGCGATCCGAAACGGACGACCCAAGCGGTAGAGGTTCTAGTACCGTACGGTATTATTGCTTTCGTAGTTTTTGGTCCTTTTTCCGGTAGGTGACGCTATCCATCACTATTGCCCGGGCGAACGGTGAGGTTTACAGAAATTACTACGGCGATTGATTCGATTCTATCTAGATACATTTTGATTCGTTTTCAGGGCAATCAGTCGTATGAGCTACGGAAGATCGTTCTTTCCCTTACTGTGAATGGTACAACAACGTACTGGTACGTCGTACGAGGGGTCAACCAAAACAAAAAAATATCAAAAACGAATGCTGCTAACAGTAAATACCGTACGGTACCATACGTGACAATGGAACAAAATCGATCGAATGAGATCGTTTTGGTCCCGGGCTGGACCATTCCAACGACTGCCGGAACCCATCCATGACATGGTGTGCACTTCTGTTGCGTTGCGCCAAAACGAAAATCTGTGCTGCCTATCGATCGTGATGGTTCCTGATGTCCCAAATGCATTCCTACGATTCCGAAACAAACAGGCAACAGTTGTTCTTTTCTCTACTCGTACGCGCACCGGGTTGCAAACATCCGTAACTTCTACTGTACAACGCATTTCGAATGGTACAAGCGGTACTACTAGTATTAGTCTAGCATGGTTTGCGAAGGCGTCGGACACACCGGGTTGCGTCCCCCGCTCGCTAGCAAGCAGTGGAACGGCACGGCAAATCACGGCCTAGCACGCCGAACACTACTAGTTAGCCCCTCTCGTACAACGGGTCCCAGATCCACAGGTTGATGAGCCACTTTTCCCCCTGGATGACGGGCTTGGCCGCGTGCTGGGAAAAGTCGTCCATGTTTCCGTCGGGCAGCTGGTCGTAGAAGAGGACCGCCTTTCCGGCCTCCGGCTTGACCTTGAGCTCGTGGAAGGACTTGCCGTTGACGTACCGGGGAAAGGCCGTCTCCCCGCCGGTCATGTCGTCGTTCAGGTAGAAGAGGACGGTCGCGAAGCGGGCCCCCTGGGTCTGGTCCCTGATGTTGGAGTAGCCAAAGTCGTGGTGGGCCGTGTACTCCTGTTTCGGGTCGTAGTGGACCAGCTGGAGGGTTTCCGCGAGGGGCTGTTTCGTTTCCAGCTCCGGGTACTCGTCCGGCCCCCGGAACCGCAGGAGGGCCTCGTCGATCCGGGTGAGGTCGGCGGCGCGGCGGTAAATGGCGTCCAGGACCGCGGACCGCTCCCGGGGAACCCAGGAGTTTCGGCTGGTGCGGACCTTGGTTTCTTTGTTGCTCCTCCTGCTGCTGGGGTCGCCGTCGCTCCCCACGTCGCCCGTCGTCGATTCCGCCAGCGTGACGCCCGCTGCCACCTGCAGGATGTGGTCGACCTCCGCCCTCGACAAAAAGTTCTTGATCTCGAAGACGCGGGGGGCGACGGACAGGACTTTGAGCGTCATGTTCATGGATTGGAGCGGCTCCTGGGTGGCCTCGTCAACGGCGCGGTATTCCTGGAGGATCCTTGGATCCTCCTCCTTAAGGATTCGCTCCGACGCTAGGTCCTGCCGAATTTTGCCGAGCTTGTCTTCGGGAGGAACGGTCACAAAGTGCGTTTCCCGGGTGGTAACCCAGTGCTCCTGGCCAAAGTAGTCGGCCCTCCACATGTAGTGCATGGGGGGAGCGCGGGGTCCGTTGACCCCGTAGTTGGCGAGATAGGAGCGGCCCGTAAAGGCAAAGTATTGCTCGTTGTACAAAAGCGTCTTGGTCCACAGGTCGTACTGCACGCGTTCCTCCGCGTTGAGGTTGGCCTGTAGGTTTTTTTCGGTCTGCTCGGGATCGCCCTCCACCTTGTACGGATCGTAGACGTAGATGTTGTTTGGATAGTTTCCCACGACCCACTCCTTCACGCGCTTGTCGGTAGTACCGGGCTCGGACAAGAAGAAGCGGTGGGTCGGAAAGGTCCCTGTGCCGCCGGCCGAGAAAGGTGCGTATCTCCTCATTATGTGCGCAGTGCCTCCCTTGTAACTCTCCCAGTATTGGTCGTAGGGCTTGTTGGACATGTTGATGAACTTGCCGGCCAGGCCATTGAAGGCCGGCTTTACACGTTTGTATTTTTCGCCGTCTTTCTCGTAAAAGGTGGCCAGGTCTGGTTCGACGTAGACCATAGTAGTCTGCGGGCCGTCTCCGACGTCGTACGTGAATTCTTTCAGCGCCGGATCGATTTCTTCCCCACAGGCACTCCAGGAGCAGGTCGGCTGCTCCCTCGCCGACGCGGTCAGCAGCGCGGAGAGCGCCAAAAGAAGATAAGCGGTGGAAAAAAACTTGGCCGGGATCATGGTCAATTTCGTTGGACTCTTGTTTGTTATAGTTGCTGTTTGCGTATGTGTGGTTTGGTTGCGTTGCGTTGCGTTGCGTTATGTGACTGTTGAAGTGATTGTTTCTCCTTCAGTGCGAGCACGATAGGTTCAATTGCACTGCTGTTCGGTTTTTGTTTCGAATGGAATCTGCGGCTGCACCTCAAGTATAACTTTGTTTGTTCGATAAGACTGGATACGTATTCGGTTTGAGATGTCACAAGTGAACCCGAAGGCAAGCAAAGAGCTATGATTACAGTAATGGGTTGATGAATCCCCATCAACGGTAATTGAGTTTCGTAAATTCAAACCTTCACCGTAAATCGTACGTAACCTTAGTACCTGTACAAGGGTAGAAGTGATTGCTACGGTACTTAAATGTTGTACCGTACAGCACCGTACAACAGCATTTCAAAATGACAAAATGACCTTGGCAAAAGAGAAAAAGTGACCAAACCATCGACTCGAAATTCCAGTCACTAGTAGTGAGTCACGTTCTCACCATGCGTTTCGGAGGTGCCGCACTCACCAAACGAGAATCTTTCTGTTCTGTAATTTCCTTCGATTCAAAAACACCATTGGTATGCAAACAATCTCAACCCACGACGGGAATGCATTCAAACTCAAACGCACAGGAGGCTTCTGGTGCACTGTCCACAGCAGACGCAGGGAAACTCTTTCCTTGGTCGCTGCCGCCACACAACGCTACGCAGTAAATCGCATCGCAGCGCATCGCAAGGATTGCAAAGGATCGTTCCGATCCGGTTTCTTTTTGAAATAGATGGTGGGCACAGCCGCTGCCAACGGCGGCGGGGGAAGCCGCGAGCGGCCGTTCGGATCCGGGACGGTGAGGTTCACGGCGTCGCTCCTGGTCGGACTGCTCGGAATCGCGGTCTCCCTTCTGCTGTGGCCGGAGACTCCCGGCAGCGGGAACCCCGATCCCTCCGGGCTTCTCGCGTTCCGACCGGAACTGTACCACGGGGAGGGAACGACGCGCCACTTTTTCGAGGGATGGTACCACAAGCTGGTCCGGACCCGAACCCCGTGCCCCGGAGGCAACGGACCTAGTGAGAGCAAGAACGAGAACGAGAGTGGCGAGAACAATATCTCCCTAGCCGTGGTTCCCGGGGTCTTTTACGACCACGGCGGGGGAAACGGCAAGAACGAATCGCACGCCTTTGTCTTTCTGGTCGTCAATGGCGAGAAACAGCACTACTACCGGTTTGACCTAGACACCGAGTTTGGATTCCTCGCACCGKGAGCAACGGGCGGTGCCTCCGGCAGCGACATCGACACCCCCTACGTCCGGATCGGAAACAACACCTTTTCGAACCACGGCGTGTCCCTCGATCTGGTACCGCGGGACGGCGACGACGCCTCCGTCTCCCTGCGGGGCTCCGTCCGGTACGGACCTCTGGCCCCGTGGCCGATCCCCTCGGCCCGGAACCTCGGTGCCATGGGACCGGTGGGACACTTCCTGGCGCCCTTTCTCGAATGCCACCACGACGTCCTGAGCTTTGACCATAGCCTGGAGGGGAGGCTGGAGGTTTCTTCCCGGGACGAAACCCAAGGCGGCGGCGGCAGCAGCACCTATGCGGAAGACTTTTACGACAGCGAGTGCGGCTCTGGAAGGGAAACCGGGGTTGCCGTGCGGTCCCGCGGATACGTCGAAAAAGACCGAGGCCGGTCCTTCCCGTCCCTCTGGATATGGATGCAGACGAATTCCTTTCCCCGGCACCCCGGAACCTCGGTCTTTTTTTCGGTAGCCCGGATACCGATCCTGCTGCCGGCCTTCCTCCGCTCGCTGCTGCGGGGGCTCGCCGAGCCGGAGTTTCCGGGGTTCACCGCGGCGGTGTGGCTCGGTGGCTCGGGCGAGACGGAACCGAGGGGCCTGGTTCCCTTTGCCACCTGGACGGGCGCCTACTTCGAGGACCTTTCCGTCGAGGACGACCGCGTGGTGGCCGTCCTCGACTCGGGGGGCATCGGGGGCGGCCTCGCGGAGGCACTCTGGCCGTCCGAGAGCGCAGCGGACGCCGGCGACCTGCTGGTGCGGCTCGGCCGGTATTCCCGGGCCTGGATCGGGTCCTTCTTCGTCGGCTACGACTCCCGCGCGCTGCGGTACCGGCTCGAGCTGGAGGTGGACCGGAGGGTCCCGCACGCGCTGCTGTACGCCCCGACCGCCCGGAGGATGGAGCAAGCCGTAAGGGAGGCCCTGGCCGCACGGATCCGCGTCAGGCTCTACGAGTACCGGACCGGGGCGGGGGAAGACGCCCTTCCCCGGCTGCTCCTCGACGACACCGGGGAACACGCCGGGCTGGAGGTCCACCGGAACGTGCGGTACCTAGTGGACAACCTGTGCGGGAGGCCCACGGCGAGGAGCAGGCTGGCCTGCCTGTGAGCGAGGACCCCCACGCGCTATCGCACCAACTCGACGGCACGATGCGCCACGCCGGCGGGGCTGCAAGGCATTCTGTTTCGGCATAGCATAGCATATCCTTGTACAGTGGATTGGTGGATATCTATTTACTGGTAAAGTAGATTCCATGGTGTTGCGATGGAATGGAAAAAAATTGACTTTGGCTCGAGGGAAAACAAGGGGGAAAAGCAAGCAAATCGAAATTCTCTACTCTGCTAGCCGAAAATCACAGTTTCACGATCCAAGTCGTTTCGCTTTGTACCGTACCTTAGTGAAATACCATACGTAGGTTAGTATGTTCTAGATTGATGTGGTACGTTCATAGTGTTCGTGGCAGGGGTCTGAATTATGACCCCTGGTTCGTGGTACGGTACATACGGTACAACTACCACCGTCCTCTGGCTCGGAGGAACGTTTTTCGCCCCTATCAATGATCGCGCTGTCCAATGATGTTGGTCGAGAAGTCTCCCGTAACCGCTGACGCAAGCAACGGGCATATCAAAATCTGGGACTAGCGGCGACGAGACCCGGAATTATTTTTTCAATCGCTGTACCGTACGGTACAGCATTCGGAAGGATGCTTCGCTTCACAATTCGTGGGAACACCCCGAGCCAGGCATTCCGAGGAACACAAACCATCACAAACCATAGCGTGACAAAGCCATAACAACAAACAGTTCCATCTGTGCTCGTACCCTGAAGAACAATAAAGAAAGACGCGGGACAGGAGAACAAATGGTTGCCACCCCCGCCATCACGACCGGCAGGAGTACCCGCCGGATCGCCTGGGCAGCTCTGTTCGGAATCGCCGCCTCCCTGCTCCTGGCGGTCGTGGCTCGCCACGACCGGCTCGGGCAGGCCATTGCGCACGCCGGAGGTGCCCGGCCCGAGACGGAGGCCCGCTGGCTGACCCGCAGGGAGAAACGGAGGGAGGGGAGGAGGAGGGAGCGCAGGGAGAGGAGGGGGGGGAGGCAGCATTAGCACCAGCGCACCGGTAGGTGACTGCCGAGCGGGCGGGTGGACGAGCCAACCAACGACCGGCTTTGGTGCTATGCGGGACCGCACGGAATGCCAGGGCGGTGCCGAGAGAGAAGACACGCGGGGCTTCCTCATTGGTGCTAGAAGAACAGATTTCGAGAGAACGGCAGAGGCCGCTCGTTCCGTACGGAGCTCCTATATGAATGGGCCAGCGGGCTTGTACTGAATCACATTTATCATGTCCGTGTGCATTTTTATGTGTATAGAAAAGATTGATGCAGATCTACGTTGTGATGTCGTTTTCTGCTTTGTCACACACAAACACAAACATGCTTTGAAACTATCAGTTTCGATGATGTTGGCGCTGCCGTCTCTTTCGCCGTTGATAGTCTACAGCAACGAGTACGGCGGCGATGAGTGATTACAACCGCACAACCGAATCCTAAGAAACACGACGACAATAGCAAAAACTCGGCGACGGAAGCACGCATGAAAAGAGGAGCCCATCTTGCCTCCGATTCCTCCTCATTCAACGAGGTTTCGAGTGGCCTAGAGTTGTCCGAAGAAAGGGGTGGGTTGTGTGAGTCGTCAGAACTATATATATCTTGCTCAAAGCTCGTTCCTTAAATTCAAAATAAGCGCCGTGATTTCTTTTCGCATAGATTGTATAGCTAGGAACCGTACCCATCTATACGGATGCCATATTTTATTCGTGTATGCTCGCTGCGTATGGCCCCATGAAAAGATTTCTTCTTTTGTCGATTGGTTTGAACGACGTATCTAATTTTCCCGAGACACCAAGGCCTCTCCCTCCATGCCCTTTCTCTCATTAACAACATGTGGAGATATAGAACGATACGCAGTATTCTCTTGTATTGACGAATCATCGATCTCTTGTTCCTTTGCACACCGCGGTTCTTTCGTCTCGAGCTGTCGAAGGACGATCCGCACCGTTTCGTTTCGTTTTTGCTACCCGCGCCGGGCCTTTTTCGCGGCCTGGCCGCTCCCGCTTCCCCCCGGGGCCGCCGGGAGCCGGATCTCCGCCCCGCAGGTCGGACAGGTCCCCACCGGCTTGGTTTCGAAGATGCTCAGGCACTGGTTGCACACAAAGGCAATTTTTAGCAGCGCCCGCGTGTCGAAGGACCGCGGCCGAAAGTCCACGTCGTCGATGCCCGGGAGGTTGAGCCGGGGCCGGCTCGACCGCGGCGGCAAGAAGACGCTCAGCAGGATCTCCGTCAGGGCCTTGTTGGACTGCGAGCTCCCGATGGGCTTGGAGAGGAGCCCGCCGGTGAGGTCGCAGGTCTGTTCCAGGTAGGGGCTCGTCTTGGTTTTCCCGGTCGGATCCACCACAAAGCAGCCGTCCACCACGACGTTCTGCTTGACGGCCGCAAAGACGCAGTTCATAAAGGCGTTGTAGTCCGAGGGCCGGTCGTCCGAGGCCTGGATCAGAAAGATCCTTGGCGACCAGGCCCGGGCCTTGGCCGCCGGCTTGCCCCCACCGCCGGTGCCGCTCAGGGCGGTGATGATCCCCTGGTCGCTCCCGTCCCCCCGGCTCCACGAGTCGTGGTCCCGCAGCGCCGAGACGCCCGCGTTGGTGGCCACCAGGAACCGGTTGATCAGGCACAGGGCGATCGAAAACCCCGAGGCCATGGCGGCGAGGGAGGAGGAGGGTCCTCCCTTGCCCGCGAGGCCCGAGGACTGCTTCGCGGCCGCCCTCGCCACCAGCTCCGCCACGCCCTCCAGGAGATCGCTCTGGATCTTCCGGCTGTCCAGCTTGGACTCCGGGTTGTTGAAGTACTCCTCCATGTCGTCCTTGCGGGGGTGGACGACGGCGACCTCGCTCCCGGCCACCCCCACCAGGATCAGGGCCGAGTCGCGCTCCAGGCTCGAGTAGGCCGACGAAAAGGCCTGGACGGCCGACAGCAGGTCGTCCAGGTTGGCGGGGCCGATCGTGCCCTTGCCTTTCTCGGAGCGCTCCTTGTCCCTGCGGTTCCGGATGAATTCCCGCTTGCCCCAGGTCACCGGCGAGACGTCCATCACCAGGATGGTCAGGGATCGCTCGGCCTGTTTCGACATGGCGGTGCTGTGATGTGATGTGCTGTGCTGTGTTGTGTCRTGTCGTGTCGCGTTGTTGTGTTTGTCGCGATTCGTTCTAATTTCAACTACTGGTGCTGTGTCGTGTCGGAGAACGACGCCTGTTCCGTGACGTATCGTGTCGATGGGTTCCAGACAGTCGTCGTTCAATGGTCGTTGTTTTGTTGCGGATCGATCGTAGCAGTTGCTAGACAGGAGATCCAGCAATCAACAAGCAAGGTACTCGGTGGTAGTCTCCCACGGAACCGACTTTGTTCTACTCGCCAGGTGTTCTTTTTGATGGCAACCGAGGACGTGTTGGTTGCTGTATCCGAAGTGAAATCAACAATCTCTCAAAAATTTCATGCCTCTCGATACAGTTGTTGGCAGTGTGAAGCACGACAAACGATGATTTCCGTGGTACGAGTAAGTACGAGGACGTCAACGCAGTACGTCAACACCGTACGATAAATGTCGAAAATCCTGTGCAAGTCACCGTACCAAGCATCCTGTACGAGTAACGAGCATCCCCAATCCCCAAGGTAGGGGCTTGGTATTCCTAGTACGTAATACCGGTATGTACGAGTACGAAGACCAGTAGATAGATACTAGATACGACTAGATGCTAGATACAGAAGGTGTGAAAAGTTCCATCCGAAAGAAAAAGACTTGTTTGGGCTTTCAAATATAACCAAAGTAAAAGCGAATGTGATGGCATCAAGGAGATACCAAAAATCTCAATTTGCCTGTCGGTTTCTTCGTTGCCTTTCCGTTATGAATTCAATCATAGTGAAGGAAATCGATACAGCGATATCACCGTCTTCGATTGATTCGATTTGCATTTACTATTACGCGAGTGAAACACAATCCGATGGTACCAAATAATAACACAACGGGTTGCGTTTGTTGTGTGATTATTCTCGTTCGTTGCTGCGCATTCTACATTTGTTAGATAGCAAATACTTTCCAATGCTACCAGAATGCCGTGAGCGAATCAGGCAGCGCCGGTCAATGGCAAACGAACGAATGAATCCATCCACCCACCCATCCACCCATCCATCCTTTCTCAGCACCGCGTCGTAGGAACGTCTCGGTCGTTGCTGCTGCAGCGGTGCCGAACGGCCGCCAGGACCTCCGCCGCCACCCGGTCCCCGCTCATCAGGGCCGCGTGGACGCTCCCCATGTGGTCCGGCTCGGTCGCCTCGCCCGCAAAGAGCAACCGGCCGCCCCACTCGGGAGCGGAGAGCTCGGAGAGGTGCTTGTCCGAGGTGTCCAGGCACACGCTCGAGTACGACCCCCTCGTGAAGGGGTCTTCCTCCCACCGTGTGACGTGGCAGCCCATGCAGGAGGACGAGAGGTCGGCGCCCGGGATTCCCATGGCCGCCGCCAGAAAGCCCAGGACCGCGTCCCGGATGGCTTCGTCGGTCCTGCCAAAGGCCCACTTGCCCAGGTCCCCGCACAGGATCGCCTCGACGCTCGGGATGCCCCTGCCCGCCCACAGGTTGTACAGGACGAGGTGCCTGCCCGGGAGCGGGTCTTTCGCGCCCGTTTCCGGTGGCGTGCTCCGGACGAGGCCGATCATCGGGGGATCCACCGGCCAGAAGACGCGGTCAAAGGTCAGGAAGACCTTCTTGTAGGACCCGGACCACAGGGAGGAGACCGCCTCTTCCTTGGCGCGGGAGAGCGGCGGCCGGAAAAACCCCGGCTCCCCTTGCGGCCTGCGCAGGTGCTCCTGCAGGCACCCCAGCGGCAGGGTGCTGACACAGACGCCCGCCTCGAAGGTTTCCCCCCCTTCGGTTTCGATCCGGACGCGGTCCTCTTTGTCCGTAACGGAGACGACTTTCCGGTTCCGCCGGAGGACCCCGTCCCCTAGGCTCCGCAGCAGGGGGTCCAGGACGGTCGCCATTCCGGTCTCGACCTTGCAGTGGGGGCCGGCGAAATCGCCGACGCACACGTAGCGCTCGTCGGTCTCGACCGTGCCTTGGTGGTGGCACGGTGGCGTCTGCCGCTGCGCAGGGTCGTCGAGTTTCTCCTCGGGGGTCTCCTCCGTGCTGCTGCCGCCGTCGTCGTTCCCGGGAACCAGCATCTCCACGATCTCCCCCAACTGCGTCTCCGTCATGGATATCCCGTTCCAGTTTTCCACCAGGTAGAGATAAAAGGGCGCCAGGAGGCCGACCAGTCGGTCCTCCTCGTCTCCCGGCCCCGGGGAGCCGCTCAGCTGGCGGTACCGCTCGTCGACGCAGTCGGTCTCGTCGAATTCGCCGTTCTCGCACCCGGAAACCATGGTCCGGAGGATGCGGTAGTGCCTCCGTATGGAACGCGACGTAGGACACAACGACCGGGACGATCCTTCCGCCACCAGTGGCTCGGCTCCGGTGGGGTGCTCCCGGTCCGTTTCGCCGTCGCCGTCGTTGCCATCGCCGCCACCCGGCACGACGAGGGTTCCGTCCACGAAATAGGATATCGCGGGTTTCGTCCGCCCGCCCCCGCCGTGTAGCACCGTGTGGGGCCGCACCCACGCGTTTCCGTCGAACACCGGTTGGAGCACCGGCAGCAGCCCCGGGCCCTCTTCCCCCTTTGGTTCCGATGGCGTCGGCTCGGTCTCGGAGTCGGTCTCGGCGCCGGCGTCGGCGAGGAGCCGGACCATCGGGTTGTCCGGGTGGGCCCCGTGCACCCAGGCGGCACCGTGGTCTCTGAAAAAGGAACCGCCAGCGGACGCTTCGGCGGTGGTCAGGATCCTCCCCCCGATCCGGTCCCTCGCCTCCAGGACGACTACCGAGAGGCCGGTGTCGTTGCCCGTTTCGCCAAGCAGGCGGGAGGCACACCGGAGTCCCGCGGCCCCCGCGCCGATGATCGCGCAGTCCACCACCAGTGGGTTCGTGCTATCGGGTTTGGAGTCGGTTTCGGTGCTTCTGCCCCTGCTCTCGCTCTCGCTGAGGTTCTCGTCCATGTTGTTCTTTGTTTGCTGGATCCCTTCCTCGGTGATGGAAAAAAAAAAAATTGATGAAGGTGATGCGTGTTTCGATTCCAATCAATCAAGAGCTCCACTGGCTAACGCACTTACACACGGCAACACAAAAAAGTCTCAAAATTCCGATCCTAATTTTCCTTGGAACCCGTCGTGTATGGTACCGTACGGTACGACTCGTGATCGCTACGAGTAGTCGTAGTCGCACCGGTATGTTGTGTGTTCAGAAGTAGAAGTAAATGCTACTCTACGTATCAAACGGATGAAGGGACAGACAAATTGATTGCGGGGCTGAGAGAAACTAATTTCTGTATTGTCATTTTGTTGCGAAACCTCCAAAATCCATCCAAGAGTCAAAAACAAATCAGTCCCATGAAAATGATTTGTCCGAACCAAACAGATCCAGATCCCTCGGTGGCACCTTGGTGCCAATCAGAGAAGGAATCCTGTTCTGCCGACTTTTTTTTCGACTCGGGCACTTGTACCAACAAGGAAAGATTCGAATTGAAGGGCGAAACCTTCACGTGCGCCCAACTGGAAGACCTCAGCAGCAAGAAGAAGGAGAATCTTTGCAAGAGGAAGAAGAAAGTCAAGAAGGCCTGCCCGGGGGTTTGCAACCGCCGCTGCAGTTGCATGGACCAGAAAACCTCATTCCGGATCAGACCAAATGGTGACAACGACTTCAACGGAAAGTTCCGGTGCAAAAATGTGAACCCCAACAGCCCTCTTGTGACACGAAGGTAAAGAAAGGGAAACTGGTCAAGGATTACTGTCCCCAAAAGTGTTACTTTTGCTTGTGATTGAGATGATACCGTAAGTAAGGAACTAAATGCGTACGTAGCCTATTGTGTTAAGTGAAAAAAATGTAAATCGCTTGCTTTCAGGATATAGGCTGCGACTATTATACTAGAAGTAATGTTGTTGTTATGGATCAACGATGACTGTGCTTCTTCCGTCGCGAGTCAATGGAATCGCAGCAGATATTGCGTAGCATCATCATCGGCCGTGGGTTTGCAATCCCCAAAAAAGTCGCCAGCCGTCCTCCCCGCAATGCCTATTCCCGCAAATTCTGATGAGACTGCTGCAGCGTTTTATTCCCCAGTTTTAGACATCTTGTTTCTAGTGTTATCGTCGTCGTCGTCATCGTCGTCGCCAATGTCGTGGTCACCAATTTCTTCGTGGCGACGCTTTCGAATGGCAATCAGTTCCCTCGTGCACCAGTCCGTGGGATTCTTGAAGTTGTAAGCGCCTTTTGGAAGGAAGAAGATGACAACGGTTAGGAGTTCGAAAAAGTTGCGGAAACGCAAAGCAAGAAGGGAAAACCGTTTTGTTTTGTTCCACTCACCGTTGAAGATACAAACGACGTTCATTGCAGCAACCTCCATGTCGGTGAGATTGGGAAGGAGCTTGGGCGTGATCAGCCAGTACTGGCCACAGTGGTCCGTTGGTCCGTTCGGGCCTGGGGCTTGCGTGGAATTTTCCACGATGCGCTTGAACACCAAGCGCTCGTTTCGGTCGTCCAGGCCCTGGTTGATCTCGTCGACACACCGAAAGGGGGAAACCATCATGTCCTGCATGGCCATCAGGTACATAATAGTAGACACCGACCGCTCGCCCCCGGATTGGACCCGACTGGAAAGCACCGTCGGTTTGACGCCCTCTCGAAAGCTGACCTTGATCTCGACGGCGTAATCCTCAAAGAGAAAGTCCTCGTCGTTGTCTCCGTCCTTGAGCGAAACGCTTCCGATGCATCCGAGCTCGCTCATGTATTTCGTAAACCGCTTGTCCACCGTCTCGATGATTTCTTTCAGCGTGCTGTGCCACGGAACTCTCATGCGCTCCAGTTCCGATTGGCCTCTCTCCTTTCGGTCCTTCAGATCATCGAGGCTTTCTCTGACTTCCTCGAGCTCTCTCGTCTTTTCTTCGTAGACCCGCAGCGCACTATCGTCTCGCTGGATGCTGTTGATCTTGGCTTCGGCTTCTTCGAGCGCGTTCTGCGCGAGATCTTCTCGGTCGAATTGGGCAAGGTCCACCTCTAGCTTTCGTTTGAGATCTGTTTCTTCCCCGTTCTCGTCCGCAAGAGGGGCTTGTTCCGATGCGCGTTGCGCAAGCTCCTTGTATCGACTCTTTTCTTGCGCGAACTGTTGCTTTGCCTTGCGAAATTCGTCTCTCATCGTATCGATTGCGGTTTCGGCATCTCCCGCTTTTTCTCTAAGGAAACAGAAAGGGAAAGCAGCACGTGTTGGAAACGTTTCAAAAGGCAAATTAGGGCATCGCATCGCATCGCATCGCATCCCTGGAAAGAATGCTTTGGGTTGATACTTACTCGCTGAGTCTGGCTCGGACCAACGCGAATTCCTTGTCTACTTTGAACCCCGCTACCTCTACCGTCAATTCTACCATTTTCTTGTTGCTTTCCGAATAGGCATTCATCGCTTTCAACGAGGCCTCGAGTCGCTGCTTCAGTTTCCTTACCAGATTCCTCTTTTCTTCTTCGTCGTCGGTTTCGAGCCTTTCCTCGGCTTCCCGCAGCTTGCGCTTGGAATTCTGGAGTTTTTGTACTAGTTTCTTGATCGTCTGGATCTTGGCCTTGATTTCCTTGGAACGCTGCTGCGCTTGCTGGACCTGGAGCAAAAGATCCTCCTGCTCGCGGGCACACTGTTCGATTTTTGGCTGGATTTCGTTCTCGCGGTCCTTTACTTCCCTCAGTTTCTGGGTCACTCGCTGCTTTGCGTCGTCGCTTGCCCCGCGGCTCAAAAACCTCGCGACCCGAACGTCGTCCACTCTGTGGTACCGCAAGAACACAAAAACAAACAGCAACAACGATGCATTGAGTATTCCAAACACGAGACCGCTGCGGTCGCAAGCCTTAGCCTTGGAGCATCGCGGCTTGCAACCACACAGAAATCCGAGAAGACTTACCGCAGCGAGGGTTTCCCGGAATACCTCGAGACCTGGGAGGTGTACTTGAACGAATCGCCGTCTTTGCTGGCGAAAATGCAGTACGACTGTAGCTTGCCGTGGTGGTGTTCGGACTCGGAGAGGATCCGTCCCAGGTCCCGGCCGTCGAGGCTGTCCTGCGTTCGGTCGCTTCCCACCAGCACCTTGTGGATCGCGGAATTGGTTTTCAGCACCTGGACCACAATGTCCGGTGCATCGAAGGATTCGTCGAGGTAGCCCATCACGCCGTGGTCTCGCTTGAGGACGGCCATTTTCTGTTCGGAAAACATGCGGGGTTCGCCCTGGGAAATCCGGTCCACAAAGTTGATGTTGATGGGGATGTTCTGTTCGCGACGGACCTTGTTGTACAAGAGGTCGTAGTCCGACTTGTCTTGTACCACAAAGGATTTGAGGACGGAGTTTGCCACGTGCTGTTCGAGAAAGGCCGCGCTGTCGTTGGACTTGGGAGAAATCTCGCAGGCCACGGGCCCAATGACTTCTTTTCGAAAGAGGCCCCGGTTGTTGTTGATCCAGTGGTAGGCGTTCCGCACGTCCTCAAAGTACCGAAAGACGTTTTCGCGGCGCTGTTCCTTCTCGTTCTGGAGCCTGGCCAGTTTTCTCTGGACGTTGTTCCTCTCGTCCTTCACGGAGGACATCTCGTGGTTGAGCTCCAGCAGGGCGGTCTTCGAGTCGTTGTACCGCGGCTTGATGGCATCCTGCTCCCGGCGGGCGCTCGCAAAGGCCTCCTCGAGGTCCTCCATCGGCGGCTCCTCGTCCAGCGCCTCCTGGAGGCCCCCGACCTTGTCCCGCAGCAGCCGCGCGTCGTTCTCGTACTTGGCGCGGGTGTTGTCCACGGTCGCCAGCTCGGCCAGGGTCTCCTCGATCTGGTCGTCGTGGTTGTCGAATTTGTGCTTCTGCTTCGCCATGTTCTTTTCCTCGTTCTTGATCTTTTTCTCAAAGGCGTCGACGTCGTTCCTGGCTTTCTCCAGCCACTCCTTCGCCTGGTCCCTGGCTTGCAGGAGTGGCTCCAGCTCGTCCTCGAGGTTTTCCACCTTCTGTTTCGCCTCTTCTTTCTGTGCCTTGAGTGCCAGGCACGTCTCGCGGACGCCGTCCAGCTTGAGCCACATGAGTTTTTTCCGGAGAAGGTCCGCTTGCTCCTCGGCTTTCCTCCGCTCTTCCATGCGATCGACGTCGGCCTTGTACTTGGCGACCTCGGCCTCGAGAAAGGCCGCCTTTTCGTTGAGGTTGTCGACCTTGCTGAATCCCCCCCGGAGCTCCGTCTGCATCTCGATGAGCTTGAGGTGCTTCTCGTACAAATCCTTGTTGTCGCTGAGGGTCTTCTCCGTCTCGAGGAGGAGGTCCTTGCTGTTGATTCCCGAAAAGTTTCCCACCTTTTCCTGCGGCAGAAAGGTGCAGAGGTTGTCGAGCTGGATCTGGAAGTCCTTCGAGGCCCGCTCCTGGACCTTCTTCCCCGAAACGATCTCGCCGTTCCAGGTAAAGGTGGACGATTTGTTGCTGTTGGCCCTCCGGTTGCTGCCGCTGCTTCCGTCCCCGCTTCCGTGAATGGTGCGGGTGACGATCACGTTTTCCCCGTGCTCGTTCACCACCTCCAGCTCGATCCGGGCCTCGGTTTCCCCGTTCTGGATGAACGAGGTCACCTGGTCGGCCCTTCCCAGCAGCCGCGGCTCACCCCCCAGTCCGAGGCAAATGGCGCAGAGAATCGAGGACTTTCCCGTTCCGTTGGGCCCCACCACCATGTTTAGGCTGCGAAAAACACAGAAACGAACCGATCCGAAACGAAACGAAACGCAAACAGAAACAGAAACCAGGGAAGGAATTGAGTTGCGACCAAACCAGGGAAAAAAAGTGTGAGGACAGATGCGAAAATCGTTAGGGAGCGCCTGGAAAGCCTCGGACCAACCCCAAAAATCCTCCGGCCACTCCATCGACAACGACAACAACCACAACCACAACAACGACAACAACCACAAACTACAGAAACGCACCGGGGCCCGGGACTGAACTCCGCCGCGCTGTAGGTCAGGAACTTCCGGAGCTTGATCCGCTTGATGGAACCGTGCTTGTAGTCGCCGACCGTCTTCAGGCGCCGCGCCAGGGCGGCCTGTTCTTCCATCTGCTCCAGGTCCGACCGGGGCGACGATGGCATGCTGTGCCGCGCTGTTCTCTTCTGTTCTGTTCTGTGCTGCGGTCGATCGATCGGTGCGGGGCAAAGGCGTCGCTGCGCTGCGTTCCGTTGCGTTGTTTTGGCGGGCAAGCGGTGTCGTGTGTCTGCTCTTAAGGTGTTTTGCAACCAACAACGGAGTGCAATCTGGCAGGTCTCGTTCGGGTTTCCGGGGTGGTCTTGCGGTGTCGGTGCGTTGGGAATGGCCTTCGGTTTGGTGCGGTTCGATCCGGGATGCGACGATCCTTCTCGAGCCGCGGTGCTCGTACCGGGTGATGAGAATACCGTAGTACTTTACATCGTTCCGGTCCTGTCCGTCCCGTCCCGTGCCTTTCCGTCACGGTACGAATCTCGTACCGTACCGTACGTTGATTCCTACTACACGGCAATGACATGCTTCTTGGCCGGGGCGGAGGCGCGAGAACTAAACTGTCCCTGCTGTGTTTCCGTACGTACCGTACTGTACCATGCCGTCTACCATGTCGTGTACCGGACCGTACGTACGGCAGTCGTACGATAGAGTAGGTACAGAAATCGTATCGACATGCGGTAAAACGTTTTCGTTTCCGGTTTCGAAGAAAATTTTTGGCGCGCTAGTTCCGTCTTGGTCTCTCCCGAGGCAGGAACGAACATCAGGCGTAGATTTCGATTTCGATTTTCGCGGGAACGCAGGGGCAGGTACGCCGTACGGTACGGTTCTCGTATCACGATACGAGAAGGAGCAAAGTAGTACTACTAGTATTTTTTATTGGGCAGGATCGATCCATTCGGGGCTTCCCATCAAAATCCCTACCGAACTGCCCGGTAGTACGGTACTACCGTACCCTTGGATCGACCCGTTCCTTCCATTTGCAAGCAACACCGCACACTTCTACTAGGCCCTCCACTCCAMTCCACTCCACTCGCTCTTCGGCGTTTGTCGCCCCCATCCTTCTCTCTCGCCAGCAGCAAGCTTCGATTGGTCCTTTGGACGGGGCGAAACCCACCTGGTCTTTCCATCCGGTTTGCTTTCTGCCGGTGTGTTCCGACACGCCGTCACAGAACAAACGAACAAACCTACTACCAGCTGATGCCGAGTGCCGCGGGTGCTACACGACACATCCAATTGGAATGGTCCACAAAAGCGTGTTCTTTCTTCCAGACCTTTTCCTAGTGTGAGCCACGACGCTCGACTGAATCGCTTTGCCGATGCGAGACGAGCTCCTCACACAAGCACCGATGAGACGATACTGTGCAATGCGATACTATGTAATGCGATACGATACAATGCGATACTAGGCAATAATACTATAATATGCAATACTATACAGTAAACTATACAGTAAGATACGAGCACCAGTGCCGCTCGCAAAGCACACGGGACGCAGAAATGATCCGCCGGTGTGGAGAGGTGCTTTGGTGTTCCGGCCGGGGTTGCGGGGTTCGAAACGGATGCGGATCCGCCGAAACGATCGATCGATCGGACTGCGGGCGTTCGCAAACGGCGGCATCGCACCCGGATGGCGGGCGTTGGGGGTTGTCTCCGTACCCGGTTGCAGAAAGAAGTTGTGTTAGTACGCACAGAATGCCATGCCAGCGAACTTGAATTCCGATCCACCCACGAGCTTGGCGTATACAATGACGGAATCGCCCGGGCTTGCACCTCCTCGGATCGGTACTTTGTGGGGAAAATGTACACTTGTCTTGATTTCGTGGAAACCATCGATGTAAAAAAGGGAATCGTCGTTGTCCCAGTCCACCGGAGACGCTTGGTTCGTGACCGCATCCGGAGTGGTAGAATTTTTCACGACCATGGTTGAGACGGCAAGTTTTGAACCCACCCATTTGGAAGAATAGGATTTCATTGTCAACATCACGACGAAATTCAAGTCGGCTGCGATGTTTTCGATTTTCATAGCGAACTCGGAATTTGGGCTGTGACTGTACCAGCCCGAGCGGGGTTGTGCTACCGGACGACCCTCTGCCGCCCAACCATTGTTGAACAACAGAACTTCGTTCATTTTGTTCCGTACTTGAGCACTATGCACAAAATTAGTAGACTTGTTGAAAAACCACGACCACGAGCACCTCAACGGAGATTTTTCTTTCCCTTTTGCGCTCAATTCACTGCAAACTTCCTTTGTCCGGTTCACATTTTCTTCGAGTTGCAGTCGCACGTAACTCGCATCTTTCACCATTTCACGGACCTTTCCAAAGTGTTGCATGGGCGGCTCTCCCTTCTCCAGGTTAGACGAAATGCGTGGGTCAATTGTCAAAGCATTATGGTCATCATGTTCGCGAGGAAGAATGTTTTTGGAAGCATTCGCTTTATTTTCTGTGATTCGATCTGGCCTTATCGTTTGAAGCCCAACATCGTTACAGACGTTAACCATGGAATCCAGTAAATTGTACAATATTGTCCAAGCGATTCCCATGTGCATGCCTACTCCGCTGTGCATTTGAACGTTTGAAGATAGTAGTGGAGCCCATGCTAAATCCTCCACTATGACCTTGGATCCCACGGTACTGGAGTAGTCCACGGCCATCAGATTGTTCCAGTGAGAGAGCATGTAGATATTTCCCGTTTGCTGAAGAGCAACAGAGGGAGGGACATCAGCATAAAAATCATCAAGCAATATCACAAGTGGGGCATGGTTGTCACACGGATTAAGCCAGTGTGCTGCCGCCACAAAGTTCTGAAGATATTCATAAAACACTGCTTTGGGATTGGGTTCTTGTGCATCGTTTGCAGAGAAGGCATAGATCACAACGTCTGGCACTCTATCGGGATCGGGAAAAAGCTGATACTCGAGTGCCAAGGCTCCGAACTCTGATGATATTCCACCACTTGCGATGTTGTCAATCTTCACAATATCTTTGCCCTCAAATATAACTTGATTCAAAAGCCTTTCTAGAAAGTACGACCATACGCAGTTTTCTCCAGGAATAGACCAGTGTTTTGCAGGCGGCACACCCAAATTATCAGGCCAATAGCATCCAATTCCAGCCGTCACAGATCCACCAAGCACAAGAATGCGAAGTGAACGCCTGTTTTCGTCAGACGCCAGTGCATTATGGTGTTTGATTTCCAACGCCAATTTTAAAAGCTGGATTATTTCTTCTGGAGGTGCCGGGTTCATCACAGAACGACGAAGTCTGGATGCGGTGTAAAACGAAAACATTGAACCTACCCACCCCGTATATTCTCTGACCATTGTATTGTCAAGCGATTGGAACCTTGGAAGTACACCATATGATGCATTCAAAATTTGGTGTTCAAGTTTATTCCATACATGACTTGACGACAATGATTCAGCCCCGGCCTCTATCAACACCGATGGACAGAATGTATCATCATTTAGAGAAGCATTGGTTGCGTGAATAAGAGGATCAGCAAATCCATTACTCAGTTGTTGTCGAATTTCTTTTAATGCCCTTGATGAATAGCCATACCATCGAAAACCAAGACAAACTAAAATAGATCCAAAATATACCAGGAAGCGTTTTCGTGGATATATTGTAGAATCACCTTCTGTCATTGTTGTCTTTTAGTTTGTCCCCTCACACAGTTTGTCAAAGCTAAAGGAATCATGTGGGGGCCTGACCGGAGTGCAGTACAAGTATTTTTAACAATTCCGATTCAAAAAATTCACGTCATAGGGCAACGGTCTTAAACAGTCTTACTTCAGATGTTTTAGTTTTACAGCGACGTTCAGTCTGGACAATTTTTCCGCGCCAGGCATGCTACCAGACAATATTGTGGTAGTTGGAGCGGTTTCCAACCACGATTTGTCTTCTGGAGAGCAAAATTCTGGCTGGTTTTCGATGGTCCCCACAGAAATTGTTAGAGTCATTTTTACAGTTAAAAAACATTGTTCCAAATTAATTTACTGGTCCCAATATATTTCTAGTATTAGTGGACCTTACTACTGGAGAGGTAAATTCATTGCTTACTACTTGAGAATTACCATTAGTGCTTAGTACTTGAATATCTCTATTAGTGCTTGTTACTACTAGTAGTAAGGATGTTATAGTAGTGAGCACTGCAAACTGCTGTGTTTTGTTGGTGGTGGTGGTGCTGCAAGAAGAACAAGAGGGGAGCAGCTTTTATCTCATAATCTGCATCATTGCTAGTAGTAATTTGGTTAAAACTGTAATTATAATTGTAAATTGTAATCAGGAATTGCAATTGCTATCACCATGGGATTCTAATTACTACTAATCGCTATCACCGCCCACCACCATGGGATTTGCTGCCAAAAGCAGTGTTGGTGCTTGTTGTTTCATGTGCTGGTGGTGAGCGCCATTAGTACCATTGATGAGATAAAGGCTTGAGTCAAGGTAAGCCAAGAGCTCCTGTGTCCCCCCTCCCATCAGACTTTCTGTCTCTTTCAGCTTCTCTCTTGTCCTGCTGCAAGACATACTCTTGAAGAACAGCACCATCATCTTGTTCAGCAATTACCTTCTTCAGCCTTCCATATCCATAGGATCTCTTTTCTGCTGAGTTGACAGCAGTTGCAATGGTAGGTTCATCAATGCTGGTTGTGTTGGAAGTCAATACTGTGTTTTCAATTGACGATAGTGGTGAAGACTTCTTAAAAGAAACCTCAATATCCTTATCATCAATGTAACCTTTTACTGGATCAAACAAGGCTTCCTTTCTAGTAGTTCCAAGATATGCCTTGATACCAATCAAGTGATGGGCCTCTCTTGCAAGTTTTACAGACTCTGGGACAATTGCATTTCTAGTAGGCACCTTCTGGTGTCTCCTCAAGCAATTGATGTAAGAATGTAATCCTTTGTTCTACTACGACCATAGGGATAGCTCTGCCCATGTCTGTGAACCATCATGAGCCAGTCACCCTTGTTACCAATGGGGAGGATCTCCTTGATGAGGGTCATCAATGAGAGAAGCTCCTCTTTAAAGTAGTTTACAGTACTGACCTTACGACCCAACCCATCTACTTTTGGTTGCCCTCCTGGGGGAGGCAATGGCCCTGTGGGAGGCAAACAACCTTTGTTGCTAGGATGAGGGGTGAAAGAACCAGCCATCTTTGCTGCTGCTTGCAGAATGAATATTGTGGAAGGGATCTCCCACCCCCCTTGTCTCAAGGTGTGCTGCTTGTGCCAACAAGACCTCCACCAGTTGTACCTCTTTTTGTTTCAATTTAAGGTACAGTTTAGTAGCGACTGAAACAGGGGACAATGTTTTGCTGCTTTATGACAATGATTGCCCTGGTGCCATCAGTCCCCATATTAAATGAGGCACAAGTTATAGTAGTAGTAAATTTATTCAGTCTTCAATTTGGTAGGCCTTTTTAGCCAGTTGAGTCCTTCAACAGATTTTCATTCTTGGATTCCACACTAGTAGATTTAGATCTTATGTCAAGGGCAAATTGAGCATTGACAGACAGTCAAAAAATTTGGTCTAGATCATCTATTTTTGGTCTGTATGTTTGTCAAAAAGTACATTGGTGTCCAGATTAATAGGGATCACCCAATTCCTGGTGTATTTTGTTGGTACAAGGTAGGAAAGGGAACAAATCTAGAATACTGCTATCAAATTATAATTGACCTTTTTAAATCAGGGATTCAGAATGTTGTACAGAACGTTAATTTAACACATGGAATGTTAGTGTATTTCTGTGGGAGGAATGGGGTAGTGCACTATGAGGTGGGAAGGCAAGAAATAGGTATGCTGAACAAATCTGGAATCAGTTATGAGTACATTGTTAAAAATGCAGAGTTTTTGCTAGTCAGAAAAAAACACCAGCAGGATGATTGTCTTGGTCTCCTGACAAGGCTATTAGCACCATTTTCCCATCAACACATATACTGGAGTAACTTCATTCTTACAATAAGAAGAAAGGGATCTAGAAATCTCAGATTGATTGGCCAAGATTTTTTAATTAGAGTCTTCCATATCAGCAATCTCTGTATCTGCTGTAGCTTCTGTGTAAAATTTAGTACCAGCACCTATTTTTAAAATAAATTACTTGTGGTTTTCAAAAAATTTGAGACAGGTTGAAGTTACGAAGGCAAATGAAGGCCATTGTTCCCTCCATAGAGACCTGTCCTCACCCTCATTTGCCTTCCTTGTACCTTGTACCTTGTACCTTGTACCTTGTACATTTATTCTGTCTACACAGGCCTGTGCTGGGATTAACATAGTACTGTACTAGGTTAATTTAAAGTTCCCAATCCCTCTTTGTTGAAGCAAGTTTAATTGTTGTTTTTTGTGTCATACTGTACTTCAAATAAAATAAAACAACAATGGAAGTTGGCTCATTCCTGGAAATATAAAATATATGTCTTTGATTAAATATCCCATGGTAGTACTAGCTATGCCTTGAGTGCCTTGAAATGTATATTAAAAAATGGCCCATTAAGGCCTCATTTTGCATAGATATGTTAAATTGAATGACCCATTGCAAATATGAACCCTTAGGCCTGCCAAGAAATGAATACAGTATTTTTTCTCTTGAATTTAGTGTAAATTAACATTCCAAATGTTAACAGGGGAGGATATCCTTCTTCCTCCTCTTTTACCCAAACAACTGTTTTGGGAAGGTAGTGAGCTACCACATTCAAGAATGGGAATGCTAGGATCTATGCACCAGGCCTAAAGTAATATATTAACTTTTTCCCGTCTCCGCCCAAATCGTGCATTTTTTGGATTTTTTTTTTAGTTTCCATGATTTTCACTTGTGTAGACTGCAGTACAAATCCTACACAAAATAAGACTGAAATACCA